AGCCAAAACTTACTTCAGTAAGTTCCTAGAGGTTATGAGATACTTAGCATAAGTGATCAGGGTTATACAAAAACCATAGTCCGATGTAGGCTATATTTTATCTATGGTGTGGATAATGCATATTAATATGGTATGTATATATGCTAGCCAGCATATATGATCAACATCAGGAAGCAACTCTATCCTAAGCAATTGACTAGTAAAAGAAATTAAGGCAGAGAAAAAGAAAACTTTTGCTGTTGTAAGAAGCCACAGCAAACAAACAAACAAACAATACAGCATTTCTTCAAGGACTGTACACTACTTGCATGCTAAGAAAAAGAATTTGCAAGCCTTTGTGTAACAGAGCCACTTGTTGATTCCTGCCATAACAATGCAATACTGTCAGAGGAGCTTCCATGAAATGGCGGGGAAGGGGATGCATGGCAAAGAGGTGCAACTCTCCTGGGTCCTCTCCACATAAATACATGGAGGGAAATATGAGGCTCTAATTAAACTAAACGGTAACTGCTGGAATAGTTAATGTCTGTGTCTTATCCTCTGCAACCTGAAGAACTGGTTATGTGACAACTAGCAAACAGCTCATGGCCACTTTATAGAAACAAATTCTATTGTCCTGCTACTTTCCCATAGCTAACTCAGTGCCAATAAATCCAAGAATGATACAGACCTTTGGCAAGTTGTCCAGACATCTCCTTTATTTTCTTTTTATATTGGCACCGTCTTTCGCATACCTCAGTGGGATGTTAAAACACTGCAACTTAGCTCTGAGGGCAATACCCTTTTCTTTATTGTCAGGTGTTAATTTACACAAAAGTAAATGCAGGAAAGGTTGAGTTGACCTCTGAAATGATTGACTGTCATGATGGGAAATTTCCTGAGACAGAGAATCTTTATGGGACAATATTTTAATTATTTAGACAGAAATCTCAGCTGAGCAGACCGTATAGCACATGTTCTCAGTCTAGCTTTAGACAGAAATGTTCCTGGACTTAGCTTGTTGGATTATATAAGTGTACAATGAATTAAAAAAAAAAAAAAAGCACTGCCCTAGGGGGTCAATAAACTGGAGACAGAATCCAAAACTTCTGGGATAAACTGAATAGGTTTCTTATTTTCCTGTTACCTGACACTGAGAATCCAAATCTGATATGTTATCGTTCAAATCATCCATGAAATTGCTCTGTAAAGATCATAGTCATGGAGATAAGTGAAACAGGCCCTAATACTTGGAACACTTGTTTAATATGGTCTTTTTTCCCAAATATATATATATATATATATAAAAATAACTTTCTAAAAACAGGCTGTGGAACAAATACATTACATTTGCAAAGACTGAGGGTGATGCTGAGCAATAAACAAAGACTGAATAAGGAAGCAGCTTATATTGTGGGAGGCAGCGTGTCTACTCCTGACTCGCAGGCTAAACTTGTGCAAGTTATGAATCCTCTGTGTCTCAGTTTCCCTATCTATAAACTGGAAATAATAATGCCCATCTGCTGCTGTGAGTAGAACTGATGTGAACTTCATTTGACATTTGTTTCTAATGCATACGTTTGGGATATAGAAAACACCTGTGAAACTGGAGAATTTGGCAAAACCAATTTTGTTTACTTACAAGTTGTTTTGAAGGGAACATTGTTCCAATTCTCTTTCTGACCTAACTTGTCTCCCAGGACTAAAACTCCCTGAGTTCACTCCTGAACCTCACAATCACTATTGGGGAAGAGGAACAGCTCTTGCCAAGTCTGTCTAGGTCCTATACGGCCCCCCCATCTCTGCGCTACTGGAGTACCTCCCAGCAGTGAAACATCATAAAATAATGTATGTCTCCTCCTTCCTTGACTCTAGGAGGAAGAACAAACTTGCCACTGGGGACACTTTAGGCACCTGCTTTAGAAAATGCTGGCCATAAAGGCAAGTAAGGTGGGATGTCCCACCTTAAACAAGAGAAAGCAGAAGGTGGGGTGACAGATTTCTGGACGATGGAATAATAGGGATGAAATGAATCTAGTCCTTTCCCGGAAGGGCCATCACAGCAGGTAAGAAAGCAAGTTTCCTCACTGCAGGGCAAAAAAGCATGTTTCTTTTAGAGCCACTGCAGATGCATGAGCAGGCATAGCTAGCAGGAAGTAGGATTTGACTGGTTGGGCAGGGATCACACTCTCTCTCTACTTCAGTGTCACCCAATACTTTTTAAAACTCAGGCCTCTTTAAGACATCTCAATTTGGGCACCCAAAAATTGAGACAATAACTAGCCATGTTTGAAAACTTGAACCTTTGAGTGTTTATCTGGACTGAATTTCCAAAGCTCTGATGGGTTTATTAATTTTTACAGATACTGTATTAACTATTTAACTCTATTGTGAATGAATTAATATCTATATTAATAAATATCGTGAAAAGGAAGGAAAGACTGCTAACTATAAGTGTCTATTGCTGGCCTAGGAATGGGTATAGCCTTTTTCTGAGGAATTATAGTATCTAAACTAAAAGGAAAAAAAAACTTTATATTGCCTTCCCCTTCCCTTCCCCCTGAATTTCTGGTAAATTGTCAATCATGTCAGTGGTTTTATGACCTTTTATGCTGCTTTGGTAGCATTTTCTATACTTAACATCTTCACGTCCTATAATTTTAATGCACTAACATCAATCTAAAATGATCTTATTGCCATAAAGCAAGGAATTGTCATTAAGACATCTTTTCAAATCATAAAATTGTTTAAGTAGGGAAGCGGGCCAAAAAGATAAGTTCCCTCAACACTAAAAGACCTTCACAAAGACAACATTAGGACTTCAGAAAACTCCAAACTGTTTTCATATGAAGGATAGGTAAAGGATGAAAATTTGAGAGAAGAACCTCTTGCTTTTCTTTGTGTTCCTTTCTTTTCTTCTTTCCCACTCATTATTTTAGTGTTCCAAATACTCAGGACATCTCTATTTTCACTATGCTTAGTCAGCATTTCAGAAGCAATGCCTTCTACTTAATGCCTCTTTGACCCATGAAGGACATTTGCCTCGTTCACCATTGCATGCCAAAAATTCAAATGGTGGGAGGAAAAGTGCAGCGAAAACCTTGACATGTTGTGGAGTGTCTGGAAAACTCCCGTCAGCCTGGATCACTGAAGGCAAGCAAGCCCCAGGGTCACCCTCTCACCAATAATTCACGTGATACAGCCAAGTCCTTTAAATTTATCATGTTGATCCTTGGGTTGTATGGGAAGAAACTCCTGCCACTTCTGGGGGAGAAAAAGCAATCCCTGCCCCTCCTGCATCATGCAAGAATTGGAAGGAGACTGCAAATGAAACTTTTCTGAAGCTTCCCACCCACAAGGGGTCATGTTAAATAACAGGATGTTAAATATGACTTTGCAGTTGGTATAGACAGAGACAAGATATGTTTTCTTGAACATTGTCCCAGCTGCTGGGGTTAAACCTATGATTCCAGTAGGATTTAGGGTAGGTCTGCAATGCAAACGCACACACACAGCGAGTCTCAGAACCTGGCTCAATAGACTCGGGCTCTGAGACATGCTACTGTGGGGTTTCTTTGGCAGTGTTAGACGTATCATTAACCACAATCAGCTGACATTATGTTAAACACAGCTTGTCCCTGTTCCCACTAACTGAAAAGTTGTGTTTAGGATGTATAATGTTGCCAAATTAATTTGATTTGTTTTTACCTAGAATATAGTATGTAAATAATAATGGACTGTCTTCCTAGGTCTAGGTGGCCATTCTAGGGATCTAGGATAAGAAAAGGCAGCCTGAACCGAACACAACTCAGTTCTCAAGTGAAGATAAAACTCTATATGGGAATTTAAATTGGGCAGGAGAGAATCTGGCCTTCAGGGCCATGATATAGTCAGCATAGTATATAATGGTGTACTGCTGCTCTGTTAAACTAGTTTTTGCAGAAAACATCTCCAGTCAAACAAAGCTACATTTGAGAAGCGAATAGCCCAAAATGGAAGAGTGATTCCCCCCCACCCCACCCCAGTCAATCCTTGTAACATCTTCACTTCAGAACTCTGTGCTTCTAGCATGATTAACATGTACCCCAGCCCTGTACTCCCTCTAGGAGGGCATATTGTGCAAGTGTAGTCATAAGATGAAATTGGAGTGAGGCTCTTAAAGGTGCCATGGTCAGGTGCAGAGAATCAAGCAGTATTATGGAGGGGTTGGCACATTGTGAGGCTGGAGCTTTATCTTCCTAGAGAGCCACAAAGACTTTTGAAGGTTGCACTCCCTACCTACTGTGTGATCTTTTACTCTCCTTCACCCACAAGAGGAAGGCAGTGACATTCTCCAGAGTGTTTCCAGCATTATCTGCCACCCTCCCATGCATCTTACCATGTAAAGCTATAAATAGTATCCCAGGCCCAGTTCTCTGGCATTTCCTGGAAGATGCCGAGTGTCCTAAGGTCCCAGTGGTGTCAACAGGAACTGAAGCAGATCAGCACTTCACAGGATCAGGTTGTTAGCCATTCACCAAAGATCTATAGCATGAGGTACAACAATGAAATTATCAAAGTAGATCATTCTGCTTCACATAAACCAAATCAAATTTGGCTTTTAAAGAACTGATTTTGTTTTAATTGAATACATCTCTAGTATTGTAAAATTTCAGTTTTCCCAGCAACAGAATCAATAGGCTATTACATCTAGAATCTATTGAATTATTTAAATGTTCCAAATGGTTTGTGTAAATCATTTTAAAAGGCAGATAACTGCATAATCCCTGTTCACAAAGTCAGCACAGCTTCTTCTCCAGTTGTAGAGTTCTTCCATCAAAGATATGGAAACATTAGGATATTGTCAACAAAACTGTTGTGTGGGAAATTATTGCATACCAAGCCTATCTGTTACTGAAGAGTACACCTAAAAGAACCATTATTCCATCCAGGAAGAGACAGGAAATATAATCTCACTGAAACGATTTTTAATACAGTGAGGCAGTCTTGGGCATGTATGAATGACCATTATTCGTTGTAATTAAATACACTGAATGATGTATTCATATGCAACTTTTATTACAACAAGCACATAAGTACAAATCCTTTGGCATTGAACTGCCCATTCACACTGCATAGTATCTTTAGTGCAAACTGTGTGGAGTGCAATGAATTCTTTTAGTAGCTTTACTGCAATTCAATTCTATTTTAATTTGATACAATGTATCTTGAAACATTTGATAGAGAAAACAATGAAAACACTTTTTAGAGCCAGGAGCTGCTATTCCCATTTCACAAGAGCAAGGCAAATGATGTATGAACATGGGCTAGACTAAAAAGAAAATTAACATGTTTTACATCAGGTATAATAAAGCATTCGAATTCCAGTCTGTTGACATTCTGCATTCCATCGTTAAACGTTTCTGCAAAAAGAATTTATAAAAATCATTTTAGAAAGGTGCATACCATTTGACCCAGATCAGGAAATAAGTTTTCTTTGTGGGTTTATTTTTATGAAGTTCATTACTTTGGCAGTGGTTTCACTCTGGTTGAGCTATTGAAAGAAAGGCTGGCAAGTGAAGGGTTAATTCCCTAGTAGCAGGATTTCTATCCCCCATCTTTTGTCAGTGGAGGATGTCAGAACACATTACTTGGATGAGTTAGAAATTCTAGAGATTTTCAACTTGGAAAGGGGAAAATATAATAATGTATTTTGTGGTATAATGGGCTCTCTCGTGATCTTTGTTATGGCATTGCACAGCAGCAGTGCCATCCCAGAAGGAACTGCTGAAGGCATTGTGTTTCAAGGAGGTGTAAAGCCAGAGCTTCACAGCATACAGAAAAAATACAGAAACAGCGGGTATTTGGTTTTGATTCGAGCACCGGACTGGGCGGCAGAAGGTGGAGAGAGTGAGGGAAATGCAGCAGAGAGAGGAGAAGCATTAGAACTATGTCTGCTCTAGCTCAAAAAGAAAAGGAGTACTTGTGGCACCTTAGAGACTAACAAATTTAGTCTCTGAGGTGCTATAAGTACTCCTTTTCTTTTTGCGGTTACAGTCTAACATGGCTGTTACCCTGAAACCTGATTTAGCTCAGTGGTTCTTAAACTTCATTGCACCGCGACCCCCTTCTGACAAGAAAAAAATATTACAGAACCCCAGGAGGTGGGACCAAAGCCTAAGCCCACTCGAGCCCCACTATCCCAGGCAGCGGGGCCAAAGCCCAAGGGCTTCAGACCTGGGGGCCAGGGCCACGGGCTCAAGCTGAAGCCTGAGCCCCACCACTCTGCGTGGAAACCCTTGGGCTTCGGCCCCAGGCAGTGGGGCTCGGTCTTCGGCCCTGGGCCGCAGCAAGTCTAAAACCAGCCCTGGTAACCCCATTAAAATGGGGTTGCGACCCACTTTGGGGTCCCAACCCACAGTTTGAGAACCCCTGCTCTAGCTCAATCACATGTTATTGGACTTGATTCAGGAATCATGGGATGAATTTCTATCATTCAGGGGGTCAAACTAAATTACCATAATGGTCTCTGCTTAAAATCTGTTAAATCTATGAAGCATGGGAAGGGGATATCCAATTGCAGCATTAACTCTGACCATAAATATACTACCACACACATTCATATTTCAGTTCTGAAATTTCAACATGAAAATTACAATTATATGTAGAGCAATCACTAACACCACAGACCACTCAACCTCAGAACTTTTCCTGGCCATTAAAAGGGAAAAAAACGCATAATTTGTTTTTGCAGTCTGAATCACACCTCTCTGACTTCTACAAACCAATACAAAAGCACATATATGCAATTTCTGACAGCCACACTAGCACTATGTTAAAATACATGAACTTTATAAATACAGATATTAATTTTAAAACAGTTTTAAATTTTAATGTACTATTATTTTGTCAGAAAATGCCAGTTCATCAAAACTTAAACGGTTAATGGGAAAGGGATCAATTTTGACAAATTTCTTGTTTCTAAATAATTTTTGGGAAAAATTTTCAAAATTGTCGAAATGTGACATTTTGACATTTTCAAAATGAAAAATTCTGGGTTTTTTTGTTTTAGTTTTTTATTATTAATTATTATTATTTTGTAATTTAAGCTAATTATAGTAAAAATGATTGAAATAAAGTTGAAATGAAAACTAAACATTCCACAATTTTTTTTAAAGTTGCCATTGACCCAAACTCCCCCTTGCCACCATCACCCCGATTGTCTGCTCATGACAATTTTCATGATGTCAACTTTTCATCCTGATTCAACATGAACATTTTTTGAAATCTCAAAATTTTTTCTGGGATTGGAAAATCATTTGCTGCCTAACTCTGCTTATAACCAATATACTGGCAGGAAATAAGGTTGCACTTTGGTTGTTGAAAATCAGAATGAAGATATCTATGGAAGAGAAGAGTAGCTGGCATTGAGAAGTGGAGTATAATGTGATGTCAAATGAGAACTTCTTAATTCCTTTGATCTTACAACATGTGTTAGTGCGATACTGGTCAAAGTTAACCAAATGTTTTGTTTGGGGCTCTCACAGCTTTGAAGATTGCAGCATTGACAGCTCTTGTGATATTTTGGATTTTCTTAAATCCATGTGAGACATTCAACTATCAAATTTTTTAAAAGTAAATTTCTAGCCCTCATGGTTTCAAAGAAAAAGGTTATTAAGGGCAAAGCTTGATTCTTCAAGCTCAGTAGGAAAATAAATTAACTTAAAAATAATTAAATTAATTATATAAAGAAAATCGCTTACCCATTGGTAGCTAGTTGGATGAGGGTGGGTGGAGAAAACCTCTTTGTCAGGCATGGTGGAATTGCATAGCCAGAAACCAAGGGCCACAGCAGTAGCCACGGAAGCAAGCCATTGCAAGCAAATGGGTCACCTTTATGCAAATAAAGAACCTCCCCCCATTTTCCAGTAAGTTCAGGCTCATCCATGGATCCAAGGTCACTAGGTCTATGGATATCTTGAGACATTATCTCAACCATCCCAAAAAGTCTCCTAAAAACAATGTAAAAATGCAAATATAGCAAAGAGCTGGAACTGAAATCATAGGACTACACTAAGCAGACATTCACTCAGTTATGTTCAGAGACAGATCTCTGTTTTACAGATAGATCTTCCCTTTATATATTGGTACTCAGTCGAGCTGGGCAGCTTTTTTCTTTTTTTGGACAAATAGTAAATTGACCCAAAAAATGCATTTTGGGGGGCATTGTAACTAGTCAGGAATTCGGGTTGAATTTCACAGTTTTTTGGCCAAAAAAAATCAAAACATCAAAACTTTGCAAATATTGAAACATTTTGTTTCAAAGTTTTCTAATCAACTATTTTGGCATTTTGTTTTAAAGTGACATTTTCAAATCAAAATGTCGTTTCAAATTGACATTTTCAAAACATTTTGTTTGACCCAAATGGAATTTTTTTCAAGTTTTTGGTTCAGTGTGAAACCAAAACAAAAATCAGTTTTGGGGTTTGAAAGATTTTTTTCTTCCTGGATTTTTTGATTCAGCCAATGAACTGAAAAATCAATTATTCACTAAGCTCTGCTCAGAAGCTCAATTTTGGACAGCATATTTTTCATGCACAAAATCTGGGAGAAAGGTGACACACTTATTCAGACAAAGGGGGAAAAAAATCTTCCTCTATTCACAATTTGGGGCTCAATTTTTACGTGCAGTCCTATCTACCTCACCTCAGTTATCCAACATTGACTAAATTAATCTGATACAACACCATAAATATGGTCACGTCTATTACTTTATTAAATGTTATACCACTCCCTTTTGAAAACATGTGCTCTGAAATATCTTCTTCTATTAACAAAGGAAACATGATAATTGCAAAGGAAATTTCTTGGAAATAATATCTGTTTGGATATTCTATTTAAACAAAAGTGTAAGCAAAATATACTCAAAGCCTTTTATTATACAAAATAGTCCTGGAGGCTGGTTCAAAAAAAATCCACAGCTAACTGAATTAAGAAATACAACAGAATCTCCTACTAGACAATCAAAATAAGTTTAGTAGAGTATAAGAGAGATAAGCTACCAACCATTAAAAAGCTTATGTAAAGTAATGTGAAAAGTTCACCTGTGACAAGTTATGAAAAAGATATCAGGAAGTACCAATGAAACGCTTAAGAATAAGAAGAGCAGTAGAACTGTAAAAGTTTTATATCACAAATGGATTGATGCTTGACAAGCAGACTCTCGTTAGGTAATATAATAAAAATATAATACAAGTACTGTAGGTTAAATGAATGGTTGATAGAGTTAGTCAGAAAAAAAAAAATCGAACAAACCATTTTTGTCCAAATTTGCTGATTCATCAAAATCCAAAACATTCCCTGGAGACCTGTCAATTTCAAAGCAATCACAATGGAAATCAGGCAGGAGTTCCTCCCAGTTTCTCAGAAGTCTCTTTGATGGGCTACTGGGAGCCCAGGCTCCCAGAGCTTCTAGGCAACCAGCTCCTTGGCAGCCCATCTGGTGAGATGAGGGGGAGTCAGGTGCCTGGAAGCCCTGGCTCCCAAGCTCCAGATTTGTGGCTCCTCAGCAGCCCAGGCTCTCAGGGCCTCCACGGTCCCAAATGTGTTTTGCAGACAGCTCTGAAAATATATGAGGGTTTGTTTTGAATCAGAATGAAACTAGATTTTGAAATGTCAAAATCCTCCAACAAACACAGTTACTATTCTTTGTCCAGCTCTAGCATATGATATCCTCTCCCTCATTTTCAGCTACTGATGGGCAAACCTGTTAAGTGTTTTCAGTTGAAACAGACCAGAAGCAAAACCTTAAACCCTGCCCTTGTCCAATGTTAGTGTGTCTGAGGGGAATCTGTTAATCCAGATGTAAATAATCTGGAAGTATAACCCTAATTTTCTTTAATATTTATTTTATTTACCAATATTTCCAAGGTGTGCATTACCATAGCACCTGAGTACCTCAATAATTAAAGGTAAACCAAAAATTACCTCTAGAAGACAATTTTTTTCCTTTTAATCCAGTGTTCTGCCGTGTTGACTAATTCTCTTACAATTCATTACTACATGATTGTCTGGGGAAATACCTTTTCTCCCTTAACTGGTAGCTGAAGTGCATATGGGAAATGCATGCAGTTACTTTGCAGCAATGTAGAAATGGTTGGCCAACTGGCGTGAATGACTGAGAGCAGCATAGATTACTAGTACTTTCCTACTGACTATGTGACAATTATTCAGTTAGTTACTTGCCCTACTATTGATAAGAATCATTTTTCCTATTTTAATAAGAGGCAGGCACATGACTGAGGGGAAAGAAAAGGGAGCTACATTTGTTTAAGCTTAGGCAACATATTTTGGAGAGAGCGAGCATGCACGTTTAGCTGAATTCTTTTTGCTCTGACCAGTAAAGGGGGAAGAATGCCTACTCTGTGTAAACATAATAAACTTTTGAATAAGGGGATGTCAATGCTGATTTCCCACTCTGGCACTTTGAGTGCAGAAGGTTGGGGCCCGCAAGGATTTTAAAAATTAATACTAGCCACTGCAGGCTGGTATTAAACTCCGTCACAGCTTCTCTCTGATCTTGGATGGGTAGATGCTGTCACCACTCAAATGCAAAAAAAAAAAACAAAAACAAACACCCTTTGAAACCAGAAAGGCACACTTGGGAATTCCTTCCTATGAGGTACCCTCAAGCCCTTTCACCCTCCACTCCACCCCCCTCCAGGGAAGAGCAGAGAAAAAGGAAATCAGCTGTTCCCACAAGTTTATTAAACAACATATGCACAAAACTCTTAGGACAACAAAAATCCAATCCTGTTCTTAAAAAAGGTAAATGTTATTAAAAACAAAACAAAGAAAATACATCTGAAACTTTTTGCCAGATTTAACAAACCCACTTACAAAATTTAAACATCAAGAATAACCTTCTTGAGGTCCAGCTTAAAGGTTACAAGCAAAACAAAAAGCATTTGGAGTTAGCACAGAGGAGTCCACTAGCCAATAAAAAAATAAAAGAAATAACTAATTGTGTCTTCCTAGACATTACCTAATTTACTTACTATTCTGGGGTTTCAGATAAGCAATCTTTAGGTATTGTCTAATGGTTTTTCATACCTGGCTTAAAGCTTTTTAGAGCATAACTGCTTCCTGTTCCCTTCTTTCCTGGAGAACCACAACACACAGAAAAAGGGAAGTTTGTTCCCAATTTTAAAAAGTTCCAGCCCTCCCATTGGCTCTTTTGGTCAGGTGCCCACTCCTTTCCTTTTACCTGTGAGCTTGTTAACCCTTTTTTGGTAAAGCAAGTAGAGAACAGCTACTAAGAGGAATTTTGTAGCTAACTAGCTGGCTGGCTGGCTGGGTGTCCATAAAAGGGAGCTACCTCCCCCCTCTTCATTTATCACAGGGGATAAGGAATGAAAGGCAAACTATTCTCCTGGAAGGTTTTGTTGTTGCAATGTAAATCTTTGGTCATTAATATGGCTTATGACTCCTTACAGGATTGCTGCTAAATGGGATTTCCTTAATACTTTAATGCTCTCTTAGATTTAGGTATTACTGTGCATTGTGGACCAATATTGATTACTGAAGGGAAAGGAAAGAAAAAGGAAATTGTATCTATCCATCCAAGTGTTTATGTTGCCCTGATCATCATAGCTTTTCTCCCTCCTTACTTCATACCAGAAGAACACCTTCCTGCAGAAAGTGAATGCATTCCATACTGCAAAGTGGATCATGGCAACAGTGTGATATGGCTGAATTGTCTCTTGGATGTTCCTAGTTTTGCATATTCTTTATAATATTTATTGTGGCAGGAACCTGCTATTTTTCTTCACATTTCTTTATACTAGCTGTTAACAATGACCCTCAGACACTCTTGGTAGTCTGGACCCCAATTCTTTTTACACATTGCTTGTATACTAAAGATTTTTGGTTCTGTAACTTTTATTAAACATTTATTATTTGTATTGAAGTGGAATGTAGGAACCCCAGTCATGGACCAGGGCCCCACTGTGCTAGTGTAGGGCTAAATTTTAAAATTGTACTATAAGAATTGATATAAACCTTGATTTCATTCTGCCAGCCACCCTTTTTGAATAACAGAAAGGAATGACTGTCTGAGACTGGGATCCTGTTTCCCATATGCATTACAATTAGGACCTGTTATAAAGTTTAATTAGTAAAAGACAGGATTTTGTATTGTGTCTATGATAAATAGATTAGAGAAATGTTGAGGGCCTAAAGCCCCAATGTGAATTATTTTAGTTATAAGATTTAGCAAGGCTTAATTTACAATGTATTCTGTATACCTTTGAAGGTTTCTGTGAGAGACTGTTTGTGTGAATGAGGAATGCATGCATCAGGAAAAGATAAGGTGTAAAAGCCATCACAAATGTCCAGATGGTCAAGAAAAAGTGAGAGACTTGGAAGCAGCAGGAGACAATCAGAAAATATCCATTGTATCCATGCTAAACATGTTAGCAGCATTGAGGACCTCAGAGGTGAGGCAGGCACCCCTGAAGGCGAGACAACAACTAAATAACAATAGCAGAAAACCCCAAGATTAACACCACTTAAAGACTAATGATTACAGGATGACGTTGCAAAATGCATGGACTCAAATGGGAATTTACAATATAAAGATGGGGTGTTTTGCCATGGAACTCTGGGTTTAATCCTGCAAAGCCTCAGAACATCAGATCGCGACTGACTGAGCTCTGCTCCTCACTCGTGCTCAATCTAACTGAACATAGATTGACTTGAGCTACAACAGACTGGTAACTATAAAGACCATCTACAGGACGTGTGGGTGTGTGTGTGCGTGTGTGCGTGCCTGAAAAGCATATGCCAACTGCTGTATTTACAATAAATGTGGCATTTTGTGTTTTCCCTCTTATAAGATCCTATTGATATTATTTTATTAGTGTAACACTAGGCACTGTTTCAGAGTAACAGCCGTGTTAGTCTGTATTCGCAAAAAGAAAAGGAGTACTTGTGGCACCTTAGAGACTAACCAATTTATTTGAGCATGAGCTTTCGTGAGCTACAGCTCACTTCATCGGATGCATACTGTGGAAACTGCAGCAGACTTTATATACACACAGAGAATATGAAACAATACCTCCTCCCACCCCACTGTCCTGCTGGTAATAGCTTATCTAAAGTGATCATCAAGTTGGGCCATTTCCAGCACAAATCCAGGTTTTCTCACCCTCCACCCCCCCACACAAATTCACTCTCCTGCTGGTGATAGTCCATCCAAAGTGACAACTCTCTACACAATGTGCATGACCTGATTATCATGACCTGATTATCATGCACATTGTGTAGAGAGTTGTCACTTTGGATGGGCTATCACCAGCAGGAGAGTGACTTTGTGTGGGGGGGTGGAGGGTGAGAAAACCTGGATTTGTGCTGGAAATGGCCCAACTTGATGATCACTTTAGATAAGCTATTACCAGCAGGACAGTGGGGTGGGAGGAGGTATTGTTTCATATTCTCTGTGTGTATATAAAGTCTGCTGCAGTTTCCACAGTATGCATCCGATGAAGTGAGCTGTAGCTCACGAAAGCTCATGCTCAAATAAATTGGTTAGTCTCTAAGGTGCCACAAGTACTCCTTTTCTTTTTACTAGGCACTGTGTTAGCTAGCTCACATGGTCAGTCTCTCACAACTTCATGGCAACGACTAAGCTTCAAGACAGTTCCGATTTTAGACAATCAGTTCCTGGCTTCTCAATTATGATTTGTTTTATGACATGTAGGGAGTTTCTGTGCTTGCACTTCAGGCAGTTAAAGAATTCCACTTTTCTCATGTTCGAGCATATAACTGAAGCATTTGTCATCAGTTTCTGTATCAAACTTATTTGAAGCTCTTGCATTTTCTTTGACATACACCAGATCTAAAGACAGGAAGAGGAAAAAGCAGCAACAGCAGCAAATCAGAATTCAGTGGTTAACACAATCAATGGTTTTTCCTACACAAACTTTAGCTTCTCTTGACAATACAGAAGCCAGATCTCTCTATAGAATATGGTTGTTGAACCAGTGCTAGAAAGAGGGGGGGGGGAAATATATATAGATAGATTTTTGAAGGGGGGGGAGAAGGCTTTTTCAAGATTGGAAGAAATGTTACTCATGCTGTTGTAGGGTTGAAAAAGTTCCCCCAATCCCCAAATTGTTAAGGAAAAAGCATAGTATCACACCATGATAACACATAAAACACAGTCTATTTTTAATTCTACCCAGCCCGGAGCCATCCGCTGTACTATACAAGATAAATGAATCACACTCTAATTGCCTTTCACAGGCCTCACTCTATTCTGAGTCTTAAAGTTTTGAGAATCTAATGTCAAAGCACTTTTGGCCAAATCTTAGGCAACTAGCTCCATCAAATATAGTAATATTTTGGGAGGAATATTAATTACAGGATATGAAGACTTCAATCTGTTCTCTGGTTTAAGTAGCGTACAATGCTTAAGCATCAATTTGAACAACATAAATCATGAACAAGGTAGGTCAGCATGATATTAACTCTTCCCTGTGTGAAAGCAGTGTGATCACCCACTAAGTAGTCAAATCAGTTCACACTTTACATAAATCACCTATCTTCAGCAGACAGGCTTCTAGCACACTACTGGAAAAGCTCAGTGTGCTGCATCCCCGCATGCACTGTATCTCAGAGGATCTCTTTATCAGGTTGGATTAAACTCAATTACTTTGCTACCATTAAGGATCAAACTGGAGCAGCCTCTCCTGCGTAGGATTACTACTTAGAGACGGCAAGGTCCAAGTGCTCAATTGCTAATTGAGAAAGGAGGATGCATCTGGTATGTCTCCTGACTGCCCTGGCTCATAGGCAGAGATCATATGATTATTTTTCTAGGGGACTTGGTTTGTTTTGATTGCAAATTCATATCCTCTCTGATCCTGGAATGTGGGGTGATGGCTTTAGGCAATACTGTCTGCAGATTTTGGCTGTAAAGTCATTACTATAAAGATGATTCTCCCATGGTATAGAGCCAGCACAAAACGCATTTCTGTTCCTCCCACTACTGCTAGTGCAGAGGCATGGCTGGAGGAAAGGGGGAAGAGCTTGAATGCCTACACTGATCCCAGCACACAACACCTCTTGTCTATTAACAATCCGTTTAAATTAGTACCGCGGTTAGCTGCTCCAATTTACATTCAGGGACCCCCTATGGTCACAGGATTGGCAGAGTGCAAAGCTGAACTTTGCATGTGCACACATACACAGAGTGCATTGAATTTTCCTGGTCTTTTGCTGAAGATATGGTCATAGAATTACATATAAGAAAGTGTAAAGTAACAATTTGTTGTTTTTCCAATGAAACAAGAAGCTTCTTTCAATATTTTGTCTATACTATATGTAAGATCATATATTGTGGAATGGCCACATTTTAGCAGGTCTACTTTATCATATACGTAAATGCAGTAGAATATAAAAAAAAGTGCTTGACAGTATGTGCTATATTGATTGTATTAATTTGACCAGAAGGACTCCAGAGAGTGAATTGCACTGCCTGTTCATGATTAATTTACTGTACTTCTGCAAGCAAGTAACATGTGAGAAGGCCCATAAAGAGGTAATGATAAATGGAACTCAAGCCTCAGAAGATTCATTTCTGTCTGAAAGTTTGAAAATCTCTGTCTTCAAGTGAAGTCAAAATTTCCCCAAATACATTGCTACTTTCCATAATATTGAGGTACTTTAATATTTTGCAAGATCTACAAGGCAATGAACATGTCTCACACGCTAAATGACTACGTTTACAGTGGTGCTAATGATTTTTGGTTATATGATCATTCCTCTTTTAGTACAGTGTTTTCAACTGGAGAAGAACTGCAACACTATTCATTTGAATGAATGCAAGATAATATTTTTTAACACCGGAGGGACTGAAAGTCCTGGTAGTGACCCCAAAACAAATTTGAGAAAAACTACATGATTGCTAGAGATACATGATCATACATGATGGAAAACCTGTGGGATTTCCCTTTCATCACCAAGCATTTAGACTGGGATTTCAGAGAGCTTTAAGAGAATTAGGCACCTCTGACTTAAGTGTACTTTTACCTTTAATATTCCATAGATACAGACATCTAGGTTGGCACACATCTGTTATGTGTTAAGACATACACCTTTTGCTGTTTTCTTTGTCTTCACACACA